GACGGGCAGGTCCAGGATGGCGCTGGCCAGATCCTGGCGGAGCCCGAAGCGGTGGCAACTCTCCAGCCCAAACCAGTTGGGGAAGTAAAAGCTGGGTGGGTGGGGCGACAGACCCGGGTGGGCGTGAGGGCGCGGGGCAGGCTCTGTGCTGTGCGGCCTGGGGCCGGCGGCCCACCCCCTCCGGCCTCAGTGTCCTCCTGCGCGAGGTGGGCAGTGACCGGATGCCAGGGGAGACATGAGCTCATGCAGCCCCTGGCGAGGGGGCCCTTCCTACCGGAGCCTGTAGAGCAGGACTTGGGTGCCCACGTCGTCCACGGAGAAGATGTGGCTCGGGGGAAACCAGCAGGACAGGTCCTCCGCGGCCAGAGCGAAGAGGGGATGGTACACTGGCAGGATGCCTGCGGGGTGTCCGTCAGCCGGCCGCTGGGGTCCCTCCCCTGCTGCCTGACGCTGTGTCTCGCCCTGCCTGCACGCACTTGGGCTCCCAGTGCCCCCGGGAGTGGGCACACCCTCGGCCTCGCTCTCAAGGCCCCCACCTACAGCCCTTTCTGCAGGGTGCTTGGCCTCAAGCGGTGCCTGGCCGTCCCCACCCCCCAGCCTCACGCCTCTGAGTCTTGGCACAGGCCGTTCCCTCAGCCTCAGATGCCCCTCCCCACTTTCTCCAAGATCAAACTCCTGCTCATTCCCCAAGGCCCCAGCTCCAGTGCTCCCTCCTGGAGGCGACTCTTCTGGCTCCCAGTCTTTCCCAGTCCTTCCCCCCGGCCCTGTCCCCCAAGGGTGCTCTCACCGCTGGCCTTGGCAGCCTGCACACACAGCTCCTCAGCCAAGTGGTCCCCAAAGGAGAAAGTCAGGCGCTGGGGGGGTCCGGGGCCTCGAGCGGGCAGCAGCACGTGCAGAGCCCCAGCCTCCGAGGATGAGAGGCTGCAGGAGCGCTGAGGGATCAAAGGTGTCTCCTCGCTGGGAGGCGCCATGAGTGTGGCCTGCCTGGGGCGAGAGACAGGCAGCCCCTCAGTCCCAGGCAGAGGGGACAGGGCTTCTGGGGGGATGGAGGGGGGTGCTGGCGGCTGGACACCCTGCTCCTGGGTTTGTGTGAACTCACACCCTTCCAACCTGCCTGGGCCCAGGGCAGACATCTCCAGTCGAACTGCAGCCTCCCCACAACCAGCCCAGCCCGGGGCCAGCCAGGCATGAGCAATGGATCACAGATGGGCAGGTCTTCTCCAGACCAAGAAGCACAACAGGCCCCAGCTGTGCCCCAGAGGTGTGGGGGAACGGGGTGGCTGCTGCTCCCTGTGGTTGGGGCCTCAAGCCCCTCTGGCGCTGGGGCGGGAGCTTCTGCCCCTGGTGGGATGCCAGGGGTGGGTGGGGGGTAGCAGGCCCCAGCTGAGGACTCGGCCAACGGGCGTCTGGGTCTCTGGGCTTGTCACTGCTTTACTTAGGCCCATCTAGCGGCGCCTTCCCTGTGCCCCAGGACGGGACTCCTGTCCAGATGCCAACCGCTGAGCTGATGTCGCCTGCCTTTGCCCTTTATATAAATGAATTCATGTGACGTGTCCCCAGACATGACACCGTCGTGTTGAAAACCAATCTTCAGGGGCAGGGGCACTTGCCTGTAGTCCCCACTGACGGAGAGGCCGAGGCAGGAGGATCACCGGAACCCAGGCAGGAAGCCTCCCTGGCGGGGGCCCAGCAGGAAACCCACCCCTTCCCAGCCCCCAACCTCCAGCTCACTGGGCCTCCGGCTGGGCGGGCAAGGGGTGGGGCTTCCGAGCGGCCGAGAAAAAGCAAGACACTTCAACAGGCTTGAATAAGGAAGTCTGAAGAGAACACTGGGAAAGCAAAACGGAAAACAACAGAAACTAAGGTTCCGGCCTGCCCTCCCAGCACCTGAGGAGGCCAAGAGGGAAGGGTCGCTGGAGGCCAGGAGCTCGGGATCAGCCTGGGCCACATAGCGAGACCCGTCTCTCAAAAATTACAAAAAAATCGCCGGCCGCTGGCAAGCCTGGCTACCAGGAGGGCTGAGGCGGGAGGACCACCTGAGGTCGAGGCGATGGCCAGCCATGACTGGAACCGGACCTTGTCCCCCAACAGAAAGAAAAACAAACAACTGGGTTTCAAAACAGCACCCCAGACAGAGTGGGGGACAGCCTCGGTGAGGTTTTGACACGCCCAGAACATGAGCCCTCCTGCTAAGGGTGGGTGAAGATCTCAGGCTCTGGGCTCCAACCCCAAGCCCTCCACATCCTGGCCATTTGGCCACGGTCGGACTGGGGACCCGGGACTCTGCCTTCCCAGCTGGGCCGGGGCTGACGCTCGTCAGCCATGGTCAGGCGGTTTGCTGAGCCCAGCCCTGCCCGAGTGTCCACGCGTCTCATCTGCAATAACTTGGAAGCCTTGAAGAGGGCCCAGCGAGTTCCCGCCCGATGCCTGTCACCCTGGGCGGGAGGGATGTTGGCACCGGGGTGTGGTTGCTGTGGGAAGGGAAGTCGCTGGGGAGAGAGCTTTACCAGAGGGACACCGTATGTCGCCGTGCCCAGGCCAAGCCACGAGCGTGCCCAGCCCTGTGAGCCCTGGAGGACCCGCTACGCCCCGAACAGGGGATTCCGTCCAGATTCCAACCGCTGAGCTGATGTCGCCTGGTTTTGCCCTTTACATGAATGAAACCACACAGCGTGTACCCGGACGCGATGCAGCCATGTTTAAAATCAGTCTTCGGAGCTGGGCTCGGTGGCTCAGCCTGTCATCCCGCGCCTTGGGAGGCTGAGGTGAGTGAACTGCCT